TTTTAAAATCGGACAATAACCACGGCCACATCCCATATAACGGTAATTTGAAGAAATATGAAATCTTCGATAAATCGGTAAATATTAAAGCTAATTTATTCAAAATTGATGCTTGCAACAATTCTTTACCAAGAAATACGCTTATGATAAAATTTTGGAAAATGGGCGTGGCACCGCCCACTTATGATCCTGTCTCTTATACACATCTCTCTCAATCGGGTACAATTGGGCATTAATTAGTCGCAACTAGTCTTATNGAAATACTTGAAACTGCAATATTTCGAAATTTAAGGACGCTAATTTACTCAAAATTGATACACCCCGGCTAATCATCTAGCGGTAGGTTTCGGAAAGGTGAAAAAACATTTATTTAATATTGGTTCGACTCCGCCCGAACTTAGACTTTCTTACTTGTTTAATTAAAAATTGGAACAGAGACGTTTTTTCTAAACCTTACTAATAAAAGCAAATATGTAGTTAAAATAGAAATATGTTTGGTTTAACTTACAATTTCTCGCTGCAACTTGGCTATATTGAAATTCGCCTGTGCCAAACGTACACTCAACGTTGCCACATCGCTGGTCAATTGCGCTCGCTCGCCAGTATTTCGATCCACCAATTTTAATAGCTTATCCTCCAAGCTTTGGTTTACCTTTTGCACTCGCTTATGCGACTCATACAAACGATCATATTTATCTTGCCACGCAATTACACTATCCTCCAATTCAAGTTGACGTTCCGTATCCTGTATACATGCCGTTTCCATGGCTACTATTTGATTGTGTTTTTCAAGTAAAGCCTGCTTTAGCGCCTCAATTTCGGTGGTGGCCGCAATCAAATGCGATTCACAATGGTTGTTGGGCTGAAATGATGAAAAAAAATATTTGAATTGAAGCAATTTAATAAAATAAAATATTGTAGGTTTGTGGTGTAATATGAACTAAATTGAATTCAAATTTTGACTATGCGACTATTAAGTACATTTCTGCCATAGATGCTGGAAAGACTAAAGTATTTCGCATCGGAAAACTTCGTTGATATTAATATTTTGCATACTGTGTAGTATTTTTCTTAAAAAGTCTTAAAAAGTAATCATGAATGGTCATTTGTTAATAGACTTTGATATATTTGGATGTTAACTTCCCAATTTGGGTAAAATGGTACGAAACTAAATATTTTGAAATCATATCGTCGCTTGGCGCGCAATACCGCGCATACGCCAAATGCGATACCATGTCTAAGATAGTCCAAAAATATTACAAAAGAGCAAAGAAACTTATGGCGTTTTCGGTCCCACAAAAAATGTTGCCTTCTCATTATCCTCTTCCTGGTAGTTGTGCTTAGAGGGCAAAGAGAAGGTAAATTTTTCGGTATAAACGAAAACGCCACTAGGTTAGGTTAGGTTATGCGGGCGGCTCTGACCACAGAAATAGAATTCACTCGGAGGCCACAAAGGCCCACAGGCTCTGGAGGCATGTCTTGGAACCATTTCGATTCTCTGGCGAATCTCAACAGTTTTTCCAGTGGAGCTATCCCAAAGGTATCCAGGCTCTCGAAAAAATGGTTCCCAAGAAACTTGAGGCGTTTTCTTCGGAGTGCTGTACACGCACAAAGGAAGTGCTGGACGGACTCTAGAGGGGGAATCTTAGAATGCAACAAAAACTGAGGAATGGTAAGGAATCTTAGACAGATCTTTTGTTATCCTGCCATTCTAAAGGACCTAATTTTTTTAAATAGAGCTGACATCAAGTTCCTTACTGGATATTCAACAAGTCACAATCGCCGGCTTTGTCTTACTTGCGACGAGGCATTCCTAGGTTCGCTAAATTACAGGCTCTAAATTTTCGTCTTCACTTCAGAGCATTAGCCACCAGCGAACAATACCTCGTTATTACCCACAATAGAAGGCTAGAATACTCCAGTTTAAGTGCTAAAAAATAAAGCATCGGCTTGCTGCTACGTCTATCACTAATTCATCTGCAGTAGAGGCATTGGAACTTCTTTCAAGCGCGCATTGGCAAGACGATGGACATTCTTCCTTTGCCAGGCCTATCTACTTCTTGAATATCTTCTACGCTATTGTGTCCTGGGGCTCAGTAGAGACGTTGAGCAAGGCGAGACTGTATATCGTCGGTAATACTGCAAAACGGTCTATGTCTATTAGTATGCACCGGAATGCATCTGCAAATCGTTACACCCTAATAAACGAACGGCAAAACTGTCTACCTTTGCTCCAAAAAAACATAAAAAATAAATTCATTATACCAGTTTTTGTCTACCTTTTTTATTTACCTTTTTTCAAAATGAGATCTACTTTTCGAAGATACGGCATGCAATTATTTCATTTGCAAATATGTATATTTATATCACCACGCTACTTAAAACCAAACCAAACTAATAGCACTAAATATAATTTTTACAATTTTATCTGTGTTGTCGTATGCATCAATAGCATAAAAAAATAAACCAAAGCACCCGAAAATTTTACCTAAACACAAACACTCAGATTTATGATCGCATCTATGGTCTTTATATTTGATTTTTTTAAGCGCGCCACAAAAAAACCAACGACTAAACTCCGGAAGGGTTTAAAAAATTTTCGACTGTTATCGTTACGAATAGACGCGTCAACTGACACTACAAACGATTAAACTCTTGCGATGGCAACTGTTGCTGCCGTCATCTGAGCTGAGCTGCGATGTGCTGTGCTGTTTAGCTACAGTGATAACATTTTTTTTTCCCAGCTAGTATATAGGGAAAGAGGGGTATGAAAGTGAGTAAAATGTATATTTACATACATGCCATACATGGAAAGAATGAAATATTTTTTGATGGGGAAGCAGAGAGAATTGTTAAGGTAAAAACAATACATAAATCTCGCTATACGTTGTCATCGTAAAGTTCAAAGATAACAGTAACTAGCACCAGTGGCACAAATTGTGAATGAAAAAAAAAACACATTTCGATGGCATCTATCATTTTGGAAGAGCAATGAAGAGCAATATCAAGCCAACGAAAGGGATTCTGTGTGTATGCTTAGCATTTAACGCCTCAAGCTGATAAGCGGAAATTATAGCAAATGCAATGACATTTCATATATGTACATATAGTATAGAACCGATATATGTATGCAAATATGTACACAGCAAAACAAAAAAGGGGCTAAGAGCTCCAATGAGTGATGGAAATATAGTATCATAATAATGTTTATGTACATTAGGGTCGTCCTGACTTCTTTTTCCAAACAATACCCTAGAACTGAAGAACATCGTAAGTAAGTAGAGCCGATTTTTTTTTTTTTTTTTTTTTTNTTTAACATATAACCGAGCCGCGGTCGCACAATGGGCCAAGATTAGGAAGAATTATATTTGTTTTAAGGGGTGATGTGTGTCAAAATAAACTGATTAAGCCAATTATTTTGGATGTTCCCTTCTAATATTATTATAAACATATGGACACAATTTCGAAGTCGAGTATTCAGCGATGAGCATTTTATGGCATTTTTGGGGCGTTTTTGAGGCTAGGTTTGTATGCGAAGTTTACGTTAAAATAAACCGGTAACGCCAATTTTTCGTATTTTTCTTGATTTATGTCCATAAAAGTCACATAAAAAACATTTAAGTTGTACGCCAACACCTTTTACATTCATTAATAAAAAGTACTTCACTTCAGAAACCTTCGAACTATAGAATTATGATGCATATTAAACTTTAAAGCTCTGAGTGTATTCAACTCGGAACAAGCTGTGTATTTTTCGACCACCCTAATGACCGCGTGTTTATATTATGCATATACATGTTTATGTAAGTATAATGTACATACATATGTACATATGTATGTATATTTAATCAAATATTTTAGTAAAATACTGTAGCTGCTGATAAGCGCAGCAACAGGCTGCTCCACACTTCCCTGCAAAAAATTGTGCGACTAATCTCTAAAGAGAGTATTCTGGAATTATTCTCAATCGGGTACAATTGGGCATTAATTAGTCGCAACTAGTCT